AGTAATAATGCACCCTCAGCTTTGCCAGAAGATGGTGCTCACCGCCTGGTTAGGTGGCCTTGGCAGTGCGTTAATTCTTTGCTCCCTGACTTTGAAGTTACCAAAATGTGGGCACCGGGAAGTGGATAATTTTTTCTGTGAGATGCCAGCATTGATCAAGATGGCTTGTGTACACTCAAAAGTAATGGAGATCATTGTCTTTTCTCTCGGAGTGATATTTCTTCTAGTACCTCTATCACTAATTCTCATCTCATATGTAGTAATCACTCAAGCAGTCATGAGGATCAAGTCAGCAGCAAGGTGGAGTAAGGTCCTTAATACATGTGCTTCCCATCTCACAGTAGTAACTCTGTTTTATGGAACACTCATTTACATGTACATGAAACCACAGAACAGCAGCTCCCAAGATGAAGGCAAGTTCCTCACTCTCTTTTACACAATCATCACACCCACTCTTAACCCTCTGATCTACACTTTAAGAAACAAAGATGTAAAGAGGGCAGTAAAGAGAATGCTACCTGTAGGAAAATGGTCAGCCAAGTCATGAGGTAGATGGAAGAGAGCTAAAGAAATAATATTGACCTTTACCAACAGAATATGAATCAACCCATTTATGCAAAGAGTTTTTATTGGGGGTTTACCATGTACCAAGAATAGTACTAGGTACTGACTTTGAAAATAAGTATAGGAAAAAATTATAAGGAGATAGAGATACAGACACATAAAGAAACTTCAATTCATACACATAGAAATTTTCAAGATAATCAGGGGCTACAGATAAGTAAACATGAAATGTGATTAAGTACAGTAATAGAGAAATGTACAAGATGTTAAGAAAATATTTCACAAGGAAATTAATTTTAATGTAAGATTACACAAAATGTTGATTTTTTTCTTCCAAGAATTTTCACTTTTATGGGTAATAACACTCGCTTTCATCCACCTGATACTGCCAGCAGGGAAAATATTATACTTTTTTTTCAAGTTTTGATTCCTTTTTTGCAGGTGACTTTAACATTGCCAAGTGTGTAAGCCCTGAGAATAATAATCTGAGAGAGGGTCATGATACCCAAAGACAGGAAGGCCTAGAGACAATATAATCTCTACGTGCTGTAAGGACTTTGTGAGGAGAACATACAGAATGGTGACCGTATAGACACTGGAAATGAGTATCAACTCTTCTTTGTGAGAAAAACTAATCCTTAATCTTGCTAAGTAATTTATGACTTATAAACCTTTTACTCCTAAACTCAGTTGATATCTTAATTCAGGAGAGATGTCGTTACAATCTCATCAATCTCTCCTGTGAATTCCCTCCAAGTCCTGTCCTGTCACTATATTGACATTCTCTCATTTTAGATATTTGTCTGTTTGTATGATTGAGGAACAGCCATTGATGAGATTTTCATTGTTTATTTTTCTTTATTTTTTTATTAGCAGTTCTCTAACCTATATGTTCTTTTTTTATTATTATGTTCAATTAGTCAGCATATACTACATCATTGGTTTTTGAGTTAGTGTTCAATGATTCATCAGTTGCATATAACACCCACTGCTCATCACCACACGTGCCCTCCTTAATAACTATCCCCTGCCCCCCACCCTTCTGTAATCCTCAGTTTGGTTCCCTGAGTCCTGAGAGACCCCAGAAATGGACCCTCAACTCTGTGGTCAACTAATCTTCAACAAAGCATGAAAGAAAAGAATATCCAATAAAAAAAGGAAAGTCTCTTCAATAAATGGTGTTGGGCCTCAAACCAGTCAGAATGGCTAATATTAACATCAGGAAATGACAGATGTTGGCGAGGATGCAGAGAAAGGGGAACCTCCCTACACTGTTGGTGGGAATGCAAGCTGGTGCAGCCACTCTGGAAAACAGTATGGAGGTTCCTCAAAAAGTTGAAAATAGAGCTACCCTATGACCCAGCAATTGCAATACTGGGTATTTACCCCAAAGACACAAATGTAGTGATCCAAAGGGGCACATGCACCCCAATGTTTATAGCAGCAATGTCCACAATAGCCAAACTATGGAAAGAGCCTAGATGTCCATCAACAGATGAATGGATGGAGAAGATGTGGTATATAGATACAATGGAATATTATGCAGCCATCAAAAAACCTGAAATCTTAAAGGAAAAATCAAGGGGGGGAAATCGGAGGGGGAGACGAACCATGAGAGACTATGGACTCTGAGAAACAAACTAGGGGTTCTAGAGGGGAAGGGGGTGGGGGGATGGGTTAGCCAGGTGATGGGTATTAAGGAGGGCATGTACTGCATGGAGCACTGGGTGTTATATGCAAACAATGAATCATGGAACACTACATCAAAAACTAACGATGTAATGTATGGTGGTTAACATAACATAATAAAAAAAATGTGAAAAATAAAAGAAAGCAGCTGATTTCTGTGTATTGATTTTGTATCCTGCCACATTGCTGAATTGCTGTATGGGTTCTAGTAATTTGGGGGTGGAGTCTTTTGGGTTTTCCACATAAAGTATCGTGTCATCTGCCAAAAAAAAAAAAAAAACAAAAACCTGAAATCTTGCCATTTGCAATGGTGAGGATGGAACTAGAGGGTATTACGCTAAGCAAAATAAGTCAATCAGAGAAAGACAAGTATCATATGATCTCAGTGATATGAGGAATTTGAGAAACAAGAGAGAGGATCATAGGGGAAAGGAGGGGAAAATGAAGTAAGACAAAACAAGAAAGGGAGACAAACCATAAGATACTCTTAATCTCAGGAAACAAACTGAGGGTTGTGGGAATGGAGGGGGGTGGGAGGGATGAGGTGGCTGGGTGATGGACATTGGGGAGGGTATGTGCTATGGTGAGCACTGTGAATTGTGTAAGACTTATGAATCACAGACCTCTACCCCCCAAACAAATAAAACATTATATGTTAATAAAAATAAAAAATAAATAAATGGTGCTGGGAAAATTGAACAGCCACATGCAGAAGAATGAAACTGGACCATTCTGTTACACCATACACAAAGACAAACTCAAAATGGATGAAAGACCTCAGTATGAGACAGGAATTCATCAAAATTCTAGAGGAGAACATAAGCAGTAACCTCTTCGACATTGGCCACAGCAACTTCTTTCAAGACACGTCTCTAAAGGCAAGGGAAACAAAAGCAAAAATGAACTATTGTGTCATCACACACAGAAATAAAGTTCTCAGACAGCAATCTGAGCAGCCATGCAGGGCCATCTCTGATAGGGAGAGCAGCCGCAGCTGAATCCTGCACATAGCTTTTATGTTGTTTTTTTATCAGAAAAGCAAGGACAGATGCCTCCAAGCGTGGGAAAGGAGTACAAAGGGATGGCAAATATCTTGAAGTAGGCTTGCATTTTCCCCTACGTGTAGGCACGCAGGGAGTCAGTCATGGTTAAGGGAAGAGTGAGATGTTTGGGCTAGTAATCACCAGGTGCAGAAAGGTGAGACTGAGGGTTACATTCTTTCATACGTCCTAACTTATGTCCTGCCCCTGGGGATCTTGGGATCCTGCTCCTACTGGGCCATTGCATTCAATAGCCTGAGAACAGAAATCCTGCTGAAGTTTTAGCTGCTTCCACAATCACTCCTTAGGGTTTACAATATATTTTCTAAGAATAACTCCACACTATTGGGACTTCATCAAGATAAAAGGCCTTGCACAGCAAGGGAAACAGTCAACAACACTAAGAGGCAACCCATGGAATGGGAGAAGATATTTGCAAATCACACTACAGATAAAGGGCTGGTATCCAAGATCTATAAAGAACTTCTCAAACTCAACGTCCAAAAAACAATGACCCAGTCAAAACATGGGCAGAAGACATGAACAGACACTTTTCCAAAGAAGACATACAAATGGCCAACAGACACATGAAAAAATGTTCCACATCACTAGCCATCAGGGAAATCCAAATCAAAACCATAATGAGATACCACCTTACACCAGTCAGAATGGCAAAAATTAACAAGACAGGAAACAACAAATGTTGGCGAGGTTGTAGAGAAAGGGGAACCCTCCTACACTGTTGGTGGGAATGTAAGCTGTTGCTGCCACTCTGGAAAACAGTATGGAGGTTCCTGAAGAAGTTAAAAATAGAGCTACCCTACGACCCAGCAATTGCACTACTGGGTATTTACCCCAAAGATACAGAGGTAGTGAAAAGAAGGGGCACATGCACCCCAATGTTCATAGCAGCAATGTCCACAATAGCCAAATTGTGGAAGGAGCTGAGACGTCTTTCAACAGATGAATGGATAAAGATGTGGTTCATATATACAATGGAATATTGCTCAGCCATCAGAAAGGATGAATACCTACCATTTGCATCAACATGGATAGAACTGGAGGGGATTAAGCTAAGTGAAATAAGTCAGAGAAAGACAATTATCATATGGTTTCACTCATATGTGGAACATAAGATATAGCACAGAGGACCACAGGGGAAAGGAGGGAAAACTGAATGGGAAGAAATCAGAGAGGGAGACAAACCATGACAGACTCTGGACTCCAGGAACCAAACAGGGTTGCAGAAAGGAGGGGGCTGGGGGGCGGGGTAACCAGGTGATGGGTATTAAGGAGGGCACATGTTGTTATGAGCACTGGGTATTATACACAACTAATGAATCGTTGAACACTACATCAAAAACTAATGATGTACTATACAGTGGCTAACTGAACATAATAAAAAAAATTATAAAAAACACTAATGATGTACTGTATGTTGGCTAACTGAACATAATAATAAAAAATAGGAAAAAAGATACATTAATATCTTTCTCACTTTGGAATAGAGAGGATTTCTTAAAGAATAATTAAAGATTGTTACAAGATTAAATTTAGAAATCCTAACCAGCAAGGGACACATTTTATAAAGTAAAATGCCAGGTAACAAACTGAGAGAAAATAAAGCAAGGTGCACAACCAACAAGAGAAAAGGAATTATAAAGTCCCATATAAATTAATAAGAAAAAAAGAGAAGCAATGCCAAAGAACAATTGTCAGAATCTACAAATGGGTTTTTCATAGAAAGACAATTATACATAGCAGTAAGTATATGAAGATGTAGTCAACCTCATTAGTTATTAGGGAAATGAAAATCAAGACCACAGCAACATAGCACTTATGATCTTTCCACTGGCACTGATTAAAAGTCCACAAGACCAGGCATTGGAGAAAATGTAAAAAAATGGAATAATTTATACAAAACTAGGGTAGGATAAATCGATAGAACCACGTTGGGGGAAAATGGCTTGAAAAGTTTATTTATTCCATAACCAGCAATTCCTGTCCTAGACATACACCCAAAAGACCTTCCTGCATAGAGACTACAAGTGACATAAGCAAAATTGTTCATCCTAACACCTTTCATATGATCAAAGAACAGCTATCAGCAAAAATGGCTATCAGCGAGTAAAGAGACAAAATAATTGTAATATAGTCACACAATGGAACATTTATACAGTAGAGGGAATAAATGAACCACACACACCTATGCAAACAATATTGGATAATCTGACAAAATGTTAGGTGAAAAAAA